CCTAGTTCCATTTCTAATTTGAAGCCTGCCAAACTGAAACTGACACCCAGACACCCAGAAACCCCGACGAAATCCTGATCCGACACCTACGACATGACATCACGTACAAATATCGCTGGCACGATTTTGCACTATTTCTAAATTTATCCAACACCTGCGCAAAAAATAAAAGTTATCTGAGAAAATTGAAATGAAAATGGAGATGCCAGGAGATCAGCCAAGATCACGCTGAACATGAAAAGCATGAAAAGCGTTTCGTATTTTTAAGTCGAGAATATAGGTGAGGCCAGTGCGCCAATATCGGATTGAGTGACTGAAGACTCCCCTCGGGGGATGCAAATTGTTTTGCACTTGAAAACGAAAGAGTTTTGACTTGGAGGCGAGGCGTTGGAGATCATTAAGGTAAACGCACGACATTTCCGTTTTAATCAACCACCCGCTACCAGCGAAATTAACTCGATTCACAAAAGCAGCCAAAAATGACAGAAACAACGCGATTCGGAGGAGATTTACAGATTGACTGTGAGTCGTGAGTGTTAGGTTTTTGAGGGCTTACACAGAATTTGGATACACTTTATTGGTTTACACAAAATTTTAATAAATTTACTTATTTTAATCATTTAATTAAATTTTCTCATTCTTAATAGTAACTACTTCCTTACTATTGAATTACAAATTTTCACATCAAATATTTTATAAGCTGTGTAGATAAATGTAGCCACATAACTCACTGCCATACCATTATTCCAATCATGCGAACATCCAACTGCATTCCTATCAATCTCGCCGGCACTTCTCCACATCTCCTAACCTCCTCAACCTTCATGCCTGGCAATCTGAGCTGCCAAACCAACACGATCTGCAGAAATGTCTTGCGGAAAAAAGAGTAAACATAAAAATTAACTTACCAAGAAAAGAGCTGGGGCTCGAGGGGGGGCTAGAAAACGGAATTTCATGGCTCAATGAAAAGGCCAGCTGAAGAACTAATAAACATCAGGCGGCACCGCGGCAACACCGACAGCCAACAGCCACAAGAAATGGCTTCAAAAATATAGTTCATAGGCATTGTGATTGCCTTCAATAAATTGCAAATAATTTCGACCTCATTTCGCTGGGCTGGCCAACGCCACACGGTCACGGACAACGCCTCTTAAAAAAAAAAATGGAAAAATAGAAAAATACAACGAAATACAAACGCCAGCTCCTTTGGAGCCAGCTGAGCCACCTCCGCAACTTAGAGCTCTGCGTGATATAATTTCTGAGATCTATAGACAGATCGGAGTGCTCCAAAAAATATACCACGCATGTGCACACACGGATTTAGTGCGCCGTCATAAATTTTCCTATGACTCGGTTCGACTTCTTTTTAATTAAAATGCTATCAAATGTCAAGTTTACATGCCGGAGCGCCAGCTGCGGTAGAAAATCCAGAGTGGATTTCGAGCCGTAGTCGAAGTGGAAGTCGGAATCGGAATGGGAATCGGAGTCGGAGGCAGGCAAAAGCAAAGCAAACACTTGTCATCTTGACAGGCCAAACAAAGCGTGACAGACGCAGGGAGCAAGAGAGAGTGGTGTGGGGAGGAGGCTGGGAGGTTTCCCCCTAACGAGGGTCATTCAATGAGTTAAGACTGCATTTGCATTTGCATAGGATACCCACACAAACGGACCCAGTGCACCTGGCAAATGTGGGCAACACTCGTGGACGCGGACTTGGACATGTTTAAGTAATTGCGCGCGTGCGTGGTGGCAAACAATTGAGACACACTGTGTACACACAGTGCTGACTGAGCTTAGGCTCTAGCCTTTGTTTTTGTTTTGGTTTTGGCTCTGGTTTTTGGCCTCAGCTTGGGCCAATGGTTTTGGGCTTTGTCCGTTGTCGTCTACAGAGTGTCTTTTGATAGTTTTGCGGCGATAAGCGCGACATGTCAGCGTCAGAGTCAACTCGAGATTCAGATTCCGCCTGGAGTTTAGCGTGGCAGCTTTAGATTTCGAGCACAATATATTTTGTCAGCTCAAACGGTGTACATAATAGCCCAGAGATAAGATTGTAATGGGCCGGTTAAGCGGCTCATAAATCATTGGCATGGAAATTGCTTTTCCATGATAGACAACTTGTTGCCTGGGATAGTTAGCGGTGGTATCCGATGTGTCCGTGTATTTGCCGCCATACTGACTTCCGCAAGGCAAGGCGAAACCTGCAAACTAAGTCATTTTAAGCAGCACTTTTCACTTTCCGCTAAACACTCGACATCCGCTCGACATTTTGGCCAGCTCCGGGAGGGGGCTAGCTCACCGGTGAGATGGTGAAAAGTTCATTTAGAAAACAAACAAACAAAAACTTAAACTCATTTTCATAACAGCCGCCACCGGTCAGCATCGTGAATGTGCAGCTTTTTATTTGTCTTTCTTTTTGCCCCAGAGCTTCAGTCTGGTATGCGTTTCCTGCGCCGATTTCTAAGTAGAAATATGCTGGGAAATCTAGAGCTAAATGGTGAAAATAGTTGAAGCAAGTGCGGAAAGGAATTTTAAAAAAATTATAATGAAATACATAATAGCAAGAACTCAAGAAGATATACAAAAGTTAAGTAGGCGTAGGTATTTAAAGCAGCTTAGATACTATAGTATTATTTTAAGCCCTTATTAAAGGTTTCAGATCAAATATAATAAAAATTAGAATGGTTTAACAGGCCTATCTCCCAGCACTTTGACACAGTTGCCTAGAAAATATTCCATTCGCGGCGTTTCCGCCTTTAAACGTCCATTTAACAATGCAAAGTTTGCCGCAAGGGCATGTAAAGTGCCAAAAAAAAAAGTAGAAATCAAATTCCACGGCTTATGTGGTGAGGGGCTGCTCCCAACTATACAAATTTCCTTCTGTATATAATATGATTGATTGCCCCGTTGACCTGGAAACGTAGCAAACTAATAGTTACACTTAACAATGGGACCAGGGGACAGTGAAGCCCCACACACAGAAAACCTACCAACATTTTTATACACATATGGTTCATAATGAAAATGGGTCAAGCGGGGCGGTGAGCAGGCTCCACGGAGATGAAATAATAAATGCTGCATTCCGGGAGTTGCCCATGAAACAAGGAGCGGGGGTACAGGTAGCTGCATCACTTCGAGAGTGAATTTATTCAAAACCGCCAGACTGCCCCATGACGTGGCGCTATTTTATTTTTCGAGCATCTGGGCAGTTGACGAAAGCGGCAAGTTAATGAGCTGCCCCCAATCTGTGTTATTCTTCTGATTACTAGGTTTTTTACATTATTATATGTATGTTGCGCCCGCCTTCCGTTTTTCCCCATTGCCCCACTGCCAGCACCACTGAGATTTCAATTTCACTTTTTCATGTATGCTAGAGAGCCTGGTGGTGTTGTCAGGCCGTCATGCTAGTTGATTTTTTCATGCGGAGAACAAAAGACTTAGGCAGCGAACTTGTTTTGGGCCACCGCATGGGTAATTAAAAAACCGTTAATATTGGGAACCCTCGACATCCACCGTGGCTCTGGTGTCAAATCAAACATAAAAAGAAATTATTAAAAATTCATAAAAGCCACAGAATATAGATTGACTCGAAAACAGATGTGAACCAAATTGAAATTTCGGCGTAGAAATGTGAGAAAAGTCAGCAGGCACACACATCGAGGGTCGTCATAAAATGCAAAACAGATGAACAGCGATATCTGAAGATAGAGGTACGAGACAGCCAATAAGCCCGGGTAATGCTGCTCCCTCCTCCCCCCGCCAGCCCACTCACAGTCCACCCAAAATGTAGCGTTAAGTGCTCAATGGCCAGAAAACGGCATTAAGCCATAAAATCGTATCGAAAGAGAAAGAGCCAAAAGAAATGCTCCAAGCCAGACCAAATCCCACAAAAAAGCGAAAGAAACGATTGATGGAGTTCAAATGCATATTGATTGACGTTGAAATGCTCTAAATGGAGCACAACAACCAAGAGGCAGGTGCAAGTCGGTTGCCCCGGCTGTTTTGTGGCTAATAAGTGGCATGAATTAGTGAAACGCTTATGGGGGTCAGGTCGTTGCGGCACGCCACTCAATGAACTGTTTACGGGGAGTTCACTTCCAATGGAAAGGCTTTTAAGAAAAAACACAGAAACAGTCACAGTCGCAGTTTGAGATCAATGGGCCATTGAGGCGAAACGAAATCGTAAATTCGAAATCATTGACTAAAAGCTTTTGATAAATTATAAACAAGGGGCCATCGCATCAATGAGAGCATTTCTGCCCTTTTTTCTATCAATGGTCAGCAGCTGAGATGGCAGCATAATTGTTGTGAGAAACACACATCCCGCTTCCCGCTTATTTATGGGAAAAATTCAATAGCCTGGGCGTGTCCATGGGCCTTTCCCCTGTTAATAAGATTCTACAAAGTCTTCCAGGGGTCAAAAGGTTTTTGTTTGCCAAGCCAATGCTATTTTTGCACTTCTTTGATTAGAAGACGCTCGTAAAATGATAAATTTATGTGGCGAAACGATATCAAAAATGCTGACAGTTTAATGCTCAATGCTATGGCAGCCTATGCAAATTCTAAAAATAATCCCAAGCCACCTATAGAAACTCCGAACGGACAAAAGAATTAAGCAGCAGGCAGGCGAACTTAAAAATAATTGACAAATATATTAAAGAGCATAAATCAGCATCAGAATCGCCTAAAGAGAGTCAGTCTCTTAACAACAACGATCATCTTCATTGATTTTGTTTTTGGCCAAGACTTTTATTATCATTTACCGCTTCGACCGGGCCACAACAAACTCATCTTATAATACTAGAAAAAAAAACTTGAAAACCCCCAAATAAAACACCCCAAAAACAACAACAAGAAACAATCTCCGCCGGCGTCACGCTCTCAGCAGCGTCACTGCCAGCGTCGCTGCCGGCTTCGCTGTCGACGCTGCCGCCTGTTGGCCAGCAACTTCTTGGACATGCTGCTGGCCAAGAGCAAGATTTAGTTCAGTTTCAGTTCAGTTTCAAGTGTTTGAGCGTTGCGTGCGTTTCGTTACGAGCTGCGAGCGGAGATTTCGATATTTCGATTTCCGATTTCCGAGCTTTTTGAGCTGCGAGTTTGTTTTGCTTCTTCGGATCGGTTCGAATCGCTTCTCGCCTCTAGCCTAGCCGACTTCCGTATAAGTTCACAGGTTTTGCCGTCGGGCTAGCATCGAAAATTTCCATCACATCGCGAGATTCCTGTCGCCCACCGCTTCGGGTTTTTTGTCAGCTAAACGGAACGGAAACCGCCAACGGAAGTTGCGATACGGGGCATAGTTTTTAATTAACCCGTTCCCGGGCTGCCGTGCGCAAAAATTAGTCAAGTCCAAGAATATTTTCCGGACGTCAAATGCAAATGAAATAGTGGCAAGCTGTTTAAATTTATGAATGCAGGCCGAGAATTATGTTTCGTCTGATAAGACGATGCAATGATTTATGTGTGTGAGAGTGTCTCGATCTGCCGCCTAACAATCGAGGGCCATAAATAATGGTCATAATGGGCTGAGGCTTGGGAAAAACTAATGAAAATCTTATTGTGTGGCCAAAAAGCTAATCTAACACGAGTATAAAAGAATCACATACTATAAACGTCAATCTCCATTGTACATATTTATGTGGATTTATTAAGCTGTTTAAATTGGATAAACTTTCCGACCGCTCTGACCAAAATTTGAAACCGGTAAGTGCAAGTTTTGTTGTTTGCTAGTTCGTTGTCCAGGTTTTTTCTCTATATTTTACCCGTCCGACATTTATGCTAAGTAGATCCATATTTAAAGCAAATTTCTATAGTTTATATATTTAAAGTTAGGCACATACATATTTTTTCTGCCTTTTTAATAGTTTTATCAGACTCTTTGTGGCCAGACACAAAGACAGCATGGCCTTATCGCAGGCATAAATTTATTTTTTATCGCCATCGTTTTGTATTTGGAAAGTCATGACGCGCAAACCTTAGAAATTCCCCAATCAGTAATCAAAGCCAAAAAACCGCAAAACAAAGCAAAACTAAAACTAAATTTAAAAAAAAGAATTTTGACTAAGCTACTTAGTATATGTATAATTTTATAGAGAACTCTTGCCTCTTTTGTGGCGAAAAAATGACAAATTAAATATAAAAGTTTACAAACGGCTGATAGCCCATCGCAACGTCATTAAAGCTATTTTGTAGCCTTATCAGCATTTTGACGATCATTTCATTTCTACCAATTTGAGTGCTCCCATTTAATGGTGGCAAAAATCTCGCTTTGGCGCCCGTCAACCTTTGGTTCGCTTAAATTAGTCACTCGGCTTGAGCAAGCCAGCAATAATTATATACTAAATTAGCGTATAATTAGCTAATTAGAACTGCGCAGCAACTGCCGCAAAAGCCAAAAACTCAAAACGCACAAAAATGTTCCGGCAACACCTACCATGCCAAAACAAAAACAGTGAGCATAATGAAAAATGTGCAAAAATTCGCGCTTGCGAAAATAGAAAACGGCCAGCACCAGGTGAACCCTTGACAAGACCGAAAAACTTGAAAAGCTATTAATCAATCGAGGCTGGCCGCATGTTTGGCTTGCTGTAAATAATAATGACTTCATAATTGATAATTTTGCCAGTTGCTGGAAGAAAGTTAGCCGAACTTTGGCAGTAGCCGTTCCATGCTATAGCACTCGGCCAAGGCACAACATCCGCTGACACATACTCATAAATTAGCCATCAATGAATATTAATCAGTTTTATTTATTTAAATTGTATAAAAATATAATCAATAACAAGCAGGCACTGATGAACAGAAACAACGACGAGAAACTAAACTTTAAGTGTGTGTGTGCAGGCAGTAAATTAAAACGAAGTCAATTTTAGATAAGATCCCCAAATGGGAGCACTACAATTTTTCACCGAACTGCCTATGACAGAGATCCGATCGCCAACATAAAACTTAAGATAAAAAAAAAACTGGAGAAAAAACAATTGGCGCCATATAGCCCAGGGAAAAAGAAACACCTTAATGGCATTTAATTAAAACGAAGGCAATAAAAAACTCAAGGTATTAAAATTATTAAAGTGAAACGTCGCCACTTTAAATTAAAAACGACAAAAACGGAATATAAATATAATAAAAAGCAATTCCAAATCAACGTCGCATTCAGCAGTGCAAACAAAAGACTTAAGCAACGAACTCATGACGAAGATCGGCTTTACTTAACTACACTCGCATATACTTTGTATTAACTCTTGATCACAGTGTTTGGAGGAACTCGAACACGAGCAGGAACAAAAGACTTAGGCAACGAACTCGCTAGCGCTCTCAGCCAAAAATTATGAATGAACCGAAGCTGCGATTATGGTGTGCAGCTAAAAATAGACAAAAACGACTTAAGGCTACGAATTTTTAGATTTTCAATGAGTGAGCCGTAGCTAAAAAAAAGTTCATTCTACGAAAAGTGTTGATTTTCTTCTAAAACCTTTGGAAAAGAAATCGAAATTTGTCAAAATTTCTCTGACGAATCTTATTTTATTTTCTTCATTTCTGCCTCAACTGCTAACTTGATTTGTTTATTGTTTGTCAAAAATTAGTCACTCATTTGTCCATTTAACATGGCCAAACCAAGATTTTCTTCAATTAACGGCAAATCTCGTATGTTTGACCAAAAACGAAAAAGGCGACAGACGAAGGAAATAAAAGCTGTTAATTTGTTTGGGGTGCCCGGTGGGTTGTGAAACCACTGACTGATTGATTTTGTTTATCTTATTCGTTTGGTATTCGTTTTCTAATGTCCAATATTAATAATTAAAACTCTGCTGCCCGTGTCATGCAGCCACCAACATCGGATACGTGTTAAAGCGCCAAAAGGGAGGAATATGCAAATTTTAGCGTTTGCTTTCGGTATTCGGTGTTATCTATTTTTTTTTTTTTTTGTTCATAATTTTCTATGAAAAATGTTGCTGCTGTTATACTAGCTGACTGACTAGGTGCTGCGGTTGCTGTTTTCTCACATAAATCTGCCACAGGCGCATAGAAAATTTCACCCAAAAGAAACCGGAAGCTTGGCCGCCGAATGGAATGGACCCCGTGAATTTTGTCCGGACCGCTTCGTCCGCTTAACTTTAGCGGGTGTTTATCGGAGGTAGAAATTTTCATAAAGTTTTTTTCATACAAGACACGCAGCCCATTTCGCACTCCATTTTTTCTCACTTTCGCACAATTGTGGTGGGGTACGGTACCCTTATGGCTTTTTTTTCGTGAATCTTTTTTTTTTTATTTTTAGACTTTGTTCGGGCTCTGCTCTTCCACGCTCCTCATGTCAGACACTTTGTCAAAATAGCATTTGTTACGCTGTCAGTGCCAGCCACCAACGCACTGGACAGCAACAAAGGTAGCAACAACGGCGGCAGCGGTGGCAGCCACAGTAACAACAACCAAAGTACAAAAAATAACAACAACCATAGTAATAACGAGCGTTATCCAAGCATCATCATTATCAACTTTTAACCATCGGTTTATGTTGTTTGCCACCGAAATGATTTAATTTTGACAGACCTTTTTTTGCCTCCCTCTCGGTGTATTTGTGTACATTTTTTCCAGAGTTTCTTTCTCGACTTTTATGTGTGGGAGTTTTTTGGATTTTAATTTAAATTTCTTTGTTGTTGTTCCTGTTGCTGGTGTTGTCTATTTTGGTCATAATTTTTGTCGTCTTGTTGGCACGCATTGTGGTTGTTGCTGGTGTTGCCGTCGCTTGAACTTTATTTGATATGCATTACCCCGGCCTGGCCTGGCCTGGCTTTCGTCTTTGTTTATTTCTTCTACGACTTCTCCTTTTTGGCATTAAGTGCTTGTAAATTGGGTCAGTGGGAAGTTACACTTCAGTCGATCATGGTTGTTGTTGCTTGTACTCCACGACGTCATGTGTCATAAATTATTTGTGCTGTGTTTTCTTGAATGTGGCGATATGTGTATGTACGAGTATGTTGGGTTGTATCCGCGCTGAGAACTTTTGCCCGGCACCGTGAGCTCTGACATTTTTCCGTTTGATTTTCGTTTGCTTTACTTATTTATTTATTTACTGCCAACCACAAATACCAGACAATTTTCCTAGACTCGCTGCAACGGCTGCAACTGGTATTTTAAGTGCTTTTCTGCTGCTGGGACGGCATTGATTTGAGCAATGTCAGGTCCGAACACCTTTTCTCTTGTTTACGATCCTCGTAAAATTCGCCAGAATTTTTTCAACCACGGTTTCCTGCCAATTTGTAGGCACAGTACATAAAACGATTTGTTTATCGCCGATGCCGTGTGATCTGATGCAAATTCCCATAGGATTCACAATAAATTTAACCCTGATTAGCTTAGAGGTATCATGGTTGAGATGAATTTTTTATTCGAGTCCCCAGTATTCATGCCTTCCAACCCACCTGCCCCCAACATGATTGCAACCTATATTGGGCCGTAAAAATTCAATGCCCCATCCGCATAATCTCGTCCATGGCTCATTGAATGGGCCATAGAGCTTTGAAACGCGGCATTCGGCAGTCAGGAAGCGCAATGTGCAATTTGAAGTGATTTTGGCTGTCTGCTGTCTAGACTCGAGATCGAGGCACACTCACATGTGCCAGCTGCAATGCAGCAACTAACCGAACAAGTGCATCAGGCTTGGGATTCGTTTGGGGCTAGAGGATGCATTTGCAGCGCTTGGCTTGATTTTTATTGACACAAGTTGCTGGCTGACTGCTGACTGCTGCTCTGGCACACATTTTGCATATTTTATGAGTTCGTGTCGATGTCGTTGCCATTGCCGTTGCCGTTGTCGTTTTGTGCAACGAGCTTTTTGTTCTTCGCTCTGCCACAGCTCTTTGCATAATTATTGTGGAACGTATTTTCTTTTGAGTTGGATTCGAATTCTATGTAATGCCAGCTACTGAATGTTGGTTGGTTTTTATGGCCGCATTTAGTGCCTGGTGATGGGGAGCTCGTGTAGCCCATCTGTAAGTACAAATACTCACGGGACATGTGACCCACTTGCTGGAAGATATTGCTACCAGCCCATCTCCCTGCCACTGCCCCACAGCTACCCACTGATCGCATCGCATAAATCAAGAACAGTCATTAATGTGCCTGGCATGTGCATAAGCTTTTCGAGCAAATCAACATCGGCCGAGGAGGACCCCCTGCTAAATTAGTTTTCACTATATACCCACTATATATACCCATATATAAACATACAAGTACAAGGGGATTTCGCTTGTTAACATTAATAATAACTTGTAATTTGCAGTCGTTGTTGAAAATCACTCACTGAGCGCCGTCAGACGATGGAAACCAACATCCAAAAAAACAAAAAAAAACACAAAAAACTAATTACAACATTTTTCACATGTGTATATGTAAACATTCATTCATAATATGGAACCAGCATAATGTAATGTAAATGAGAAAACCAAAAGACGAGAAGAAACTTGACCAAAAAAAGCGCAGACTTTGAAGATCTTCCGCATGGTTGGCTGGGCTTCTGTCTCCCCCGCCCTGCCGCGCCCGCCCCACTCCCCATAGATACTGTGTATATAGCCGCCATATCTCCCCCCGAGAGTGATCTCAGTGTGTTGTTAATTTCTGTTCATTAAGTCAGAAAATAGCCAGGTTTAATGTTCGAGCGAGGCACAAAATTAATTAAACATTTATCAAAATCAACGCCGCCTCTCATGGCTCCGCGATAACAGAGAAGCTCTGACGATTTGAAGATCTGAAGATCCCCCAAAAAAATAAACACCGTTGACATTTGGGCATTTTACGAGTATGAGTGGCATTGTTTTGGGTCTTTTCGCTTTTCGGGATCGCTTAACTCTTAACTCATTGTCATTGCTATAGTACTAGTCAAAGTACGAATGCCGCTCGAAATCGTAAACGAAACCGAAACTGAAACCAAAAACGATGCCACAAATTCCAAGCTGCGACTCGGATACAGACGTGGACTTCAACATCAATTCGGCTGTCGTTTCGAAATGAAAAATGCTCAAAAACCGACACGACGATCCAAAATATAAAAAAAGAAGACAAAATCCAGCTAAAACCAAAGAAACACTTGGGCTCGTTATTCTTAGCTTGAGTTTTGCTTTTTTTCGGGGGTCTCTGTTTTTTCTTGGATTTTTTTTTCGCTGTTTGCCTGGCCTGTCCAATGCGATTCAGGCTCCGATGTGGATGGCCCAGTACTTGAATTGCACTTGAGTGCTGTAAATATTTTTAAAGGCTGCCTGGCCGGCTTGGAAGTTGGAACGAATCTCGAATGCCCTCCCCGAAGGCAGATGAGCCCAAAATATCGAATCGAGATGAGCCTGGCTTATTATGAGGTCAGCGGCGGGCTTTTGAAGTTATCATTGAGGCTGTCAAAAGTCATTCAGCAGGTCACTTGAAACTAATATCTATCGGCAAAGTTGTACAGGCGAAAGCGGATAAAAATTTGGGTTGTCTTAAGATTCTATGGAAACTGCAATTTGCTTCGGTAAAAGCTGGGTGGTCTTGGGAAACTACATAACAAAATACGGTAAAAAATTTATTGATTAGGTAGATACCATTTTGTAAATATAAGATATATATGGACTCCTTGAAAGAGAACTTTACCCCTGAAAAATGTGTTTTACTTTTCGATTTTACTTTTTACCTTCGGCTCCTGTTGCTTGTTTTGGCCGTGTTGTTACTTTTGTTGCCGCTCTGTAAGTCTTTCGCGTTTTTTGGCAATTTGGGTTACATTGGCCGCTGTCTGAAAAATTATCTGGCACTTATATTCACGCTTAATTGGCATTTTTTATGAAACTCGAGCGTGCTGAAAAGTGCAGCCGCAACAGCAGCAGCAATACAACAGCAAACACAAACAAACATTCGTGCTCTTCTCGAGATTCCTTTTGCGGTTTCACCCGGTCTCTGACAATGACACTGGCACTCAAAATCAAAGGAGTAAAATCAATTTAATGAGCAAAACATGCAATAAATTACATAGCCGGACAAATGAATTTTATTTATTTCATTTTCCATCCTTTTCAACAAATTGGGTCACATATATATTAAAGGAATTTGTTGTTGCTCCAAATTTTTTTTGTATTTTTGATTTGGTTTCGTTTTCGAATCGATCTGATCAGGAAATGACCAGGCCAGCGTCCAAAGCGAATTTCAGTATTAATAATTTGAATTTTATTAATTCGATATTGAAGCAATTTATTTTATTTTGCCTCTATCTTGATTGTTGTTTCTATGATGTTTCTTAATTTTTTTTATTTTGGCAAATGACAAAACGAGTTCCCCCCAAAGCTTGACCTTTTGCTTAATGCTATGCATGATTCTAAAGACGTTGTGTGTTTATTGTTTCAGTGAGACTATCCGGTAATATGTCAGAGTCAGTGCCGTAAACTGGACCAACACAACAGTAGCGACATCCCCACAGCCACCAGGTCAATAAAATGTAAGTCGAGGAATTTAAAAAGGCATTCAATCAAAGGCATCGGGCCCAGGCCACTCACCTAGATCGATTTATTTGACATCAATGGCGTATGGGGCCAATAAAAGGCTGCACAGCTCCGGTTATTTGTGGTAATCAAAATGACTGATGAGCCAGCTCCATAAACTGGTTCGCATCTATTGCCCAACGTGTGGGCGTTTTATTGTTTTGGCTTGGTAGCTTTGGTAGCCAGAAATTAGAAATCTGTGATTCGATTTTAAATGCAAATCGATTTCGATCGCTATATTTAAATGCGTCTAAATTCGATTTGTTGCCTTTGTCTTAAGCTCGAAATTTGAAATATTTTCGTAGTATTGATTTCTATTTGGTAGGCGTCCCGCTGCGCCAACACCGCATCGGTTATGCGGACACAAATTAATGAATGGGTTCGCTTGGGAAATTCTATCGGCCGAAGTAGATGCCAAAGTGGTAGCCATAAGCATGCATCATTGACAAATCGTTGGACAAAGACTCTTCGAATCACTTTGCCAGCTTAAATACTCGTAGTTTGGGCTTTAAGCCGCGATCGCAGCCGCTCAAGTGATAAATGATAGCCAAATGAGACTTGGCTTATGGCCTGCGTACACCTGTTTAGAGTCAACACGTTGTGAATGAATCGCTTCCGGCATGAATGGAATGGAATCATGGGTTTTTGCCAAACGATGATGCCAACCAGTATCGTTCTTGAGTGCAATTGACTAAGCTCCATGTTTATTACTCGAATCCATCAATGGGAATTCGTTTTGTCGTTTAATACGCCATTTAAAATTGCATTCATTTAAAAAAGGCTTGAAGCGTCAGGAATATCATGTTTGGTTCATCAAAGCCAAAGTCAACCCAGAAAAAGTAGGGCTATCAACATCGAAGTTAGCGTCCAAGCGATTTGATTCCGACATTAAATTTCAATTGCAATCCGGGCATAACTGGCTATAAACATTTTTTTACAAAAAGATATTGCCTGAATGGACGGTTTCATAAAAACGTGAACCGTTAAAGCTCAGCAACAAGAAAATCCGCTGATGAACACCCAGATAAATGTCAGATCGCCTTGGATAGATTCACTTCCGAAACGATCCCATCACTCAAAACTGTAGTGTTGTTTTGTTGTGCGATTTACGACTTTAGTGCCTCCTCAAAAAGCTCCTCATCCGAGGCACCTGCTGGGCCATCTCCGCATCAGCATACTGCAAACAGAGCCTGGTCGTCATTATAAAAACCAATAAATTTTCGCCAGTGGTACATAAAAATTTGTCACATAAATTACAATTTGCGTGCTCCTGTCGACTGTCCAACAACGCGCACACTTGTCAGGCACAGATGCAAATACTCTGGCTAAAACTAACACACTAACCGACAACCAACCGACAGTTGGCATTTCGCAATGAATTTGTAAGAAGCGAGGCGTCGGGCTGGCCCCCAGTCGACCCTAATTGCCATTGAGTGTTGTCCCGGGCAAACGACTAACACTAATTGTGCGTACAACTGCAACTACACGAACAAATCCTCGAACAGCTCAATTTGCATGCCGCAGACCTCCGTCGCAGAGGGGCTGAGGAAGATGCATTTGGGGCCTGCACTCCCGTTAGTGGTGGAGGCAGACTACCATTCTGGGCAATTAGCCTGGTCCATCCCGTCCCGATCTGTACAGAGGTTCGAAGACTTCACTCCAAAATGGAGCGCAGGCATAAATGTCAGCTTCAATTTGGCGTGCAATTAAAAGGGGATTCGGTGGCCAGGATGGCGACGGTGGGGATTCACTGACAGATCACCGGGGCAACAACTTTATTACGGATTCATTTTGCTTCTGCAAGATGAATGACTCTGCAGCTGCCGCTGCTGGCGATAACGATAAACGCCAATTCAGTGGTAGAAAGTAAGGCGCTCGGAAGACGACTTTCTTTTCTTTTCGGGCAAAGAAAACTTCTGGGCCAGCTTGGAGATAAAAGAAGCAAAATTTTATCTAACTCGATTGTAATTATAATGCTGATTGTGAAAAATTTGGGCGTTGCTCATGCAAATTATCGATTCGATTCAAGCCGATTGGATCTGGCGTCTGGCACGAGTTGGTTTCATAATTAAAATGCAGGCAAAACGGGAAAGAGTTGCGGTCACTCAGAGCTACCGCAAAATGTATAAATTATGCAAAATCAAACGGCAGCAGCAGCAGCAGCAATGGAGGTAGCGGCAAAAAAGGTATATTTGAACACAAAAAAGCAGAGACCTTAAAATTCATATTGTTAGCAAATGTGGGCATTGTTAGCCGCCTAGCCGCTCGCCGATTGGTCCACTGAAAGTTGGCTCATTAGCATGTTAGGCACACGCCCCACACCACAGCACACGCCCCAAAAAACCGAAAGCAACAAAATATCCACAGCAGGTTGAACTAGGCAGAACTATATCCTGATAATGGCCACAATGCCCGGACATACGTAGTTGAGTTATCTAGCCCAGATTGTCGATGGCGGTGGAAGCTAGTTGGCCGCGATGCTGTGCCAATAAATCAAAATTATTATCCGCACATTTGGCTGTTTATGGCAGCGCATGCATTGCGACCATTTATGGCCATGGTTCCTGGTTAACGGATAGTCTGGCAAAAATTGCAAAAAAAACAAAAAAAAGTAAAAAAGCAACAAGCATACAGCAAACGGCCTTTGAAAGAATGCCATAGTCGGATAGACGGAGTAGTCCCAGTCATCGGATCGAAACAGTGGCGCTGGCGTTGGCTTATCTTTCGAACGCAATCTGCGACCTGGAGCCGCTAGAGCAGCTTTAGCAGGCCACATTTGAATATGACGCACGAGTGGGCCAACTAGGGTGTGTGCTAAAAAATCCAGTGCCAGCATCCAGTATTCAACATCCAGGTTGGAAGTCCAAGTGCCAGTGGCCAGGTCTGGGCTTTGCTTTTTCGTCTGTGACTTGTGGTGAGCACGCTTGATTTTCGATCGCCGATAAGAAATTTATAGTTTCGGCTTAAAAGGCATTAGAGTGTAATATATTTAAAGTTTGGCATCGTATCTATATAGCTACATATATTAACAACTAAAGGAGTCGCTTAGACCATTGTTGCTAAGCCTTTCTGGCTTGGCGGCGACTGCGGTTCAGCCCAGAGCCCGTGGGTGTGTAAGTCTATATGCAAATATTTGCATGCCCAGTCGCAATACAAAAGACTTAGGCAACGAACTTGGCTCGGTTGTCATAAAGTCTCATTCCCATGCACCCGAATAAGCTAGAACGGGACAAACGGCCGAAGCCAATATTCTTTATAGATCAACTACATGCAATCAATGAGTTGGGGAGTAGAGTTATAGCTGATTGGCACGGTGTTGAATAAATCTAATAAACCAAATGGGCAAATCTATAAAATTAACGATACATGTATGTTTAACATGATGAATGGGAATTATAAGGTGTTTGGAAATTGACTTGAGCTAATTATAATGGAACTCATAAAGCGTTACCCATAGTTATATACTGTTCTACTAAATCAAAAAGATATAAATCAAAAGATTATTAAATGAAAAGAAAATAACACTACATGTCTGTCGAAGAAAAGCAAGAAACTAATTTATTCGCCAGAACCTGTTGGCGCTTATGTATTTTGTGGCGTGTCTATGTTCAGTGATATGTTTTTAGCTCAATTAATTTTTTAGGCACAAACCCAATACTTTTCTCAGATTTCCCTTTTCTCATTCCCAAGCACCTAATCCAAAATAATCCAGCTATAAAGCGACAAACTCTTGCAAATTCATTTCTATGCAAATTTCTTGTTTCCATTTGGATTTTTCCTGGAGTTTCACTTTCAATTTGTATTTGTATGGTTTTTGGTGCTTTTGTCACAGTTTCTGTTGCAGTTGCTGCATTTTGTGTTGCATTGTTTTTTGGTTTTGTTTTTAGTATGACAATGTGTTTGCTTTGGTTCGCTACGAGTTAAGTTGAGTTTCTTTTGTCTAGCAGCTGAAATTGTTTTATATGGTAAAATGCAATTTGTGCAACTAGCAAAAGCGACAAACAACAACAGGCTAAGCATCCTTTGCTATATATTGAAAGTGAAGTCTCTTAGCATATTTGTTGCTGTGTCGCTACTGTTTCACTTTGTGAAATTTGCATATTTGTGCACAGCTGCTTTTTCTATTTCTTCGGTGCTTTTCTTCACTTGCCGCTGTTGTCTTCTATTGCATTAATTTTGGCTTCTTGTCGTGGCTAATATGGTTGCTCCCAGGTTGCTGCTGATGTTGCTGCTGATGCTGGTGCTGTTGCTGCTGCCGTACCCTGCTGCTGTTGCAGCAGTTGCTGATGTTGCCTCTTTTGTTGATCATGTGCAGCATTTGTCGTTGGTGCTGTTACCACATTCTGCCACTCAGGCGGTTTGTAATTAATGGTTAATTAATTGAAACGAAGTAGCTGACAATCTTAATGATCCGTAATTTGTTATTATGGTAATTTATACAAGCCGAAGCCAGCAGCAGCAACAAGAGCTACACCAACACAATAAAAGGCCTTAGCCGTGCTTGTCGTTGTTGGCGTTTGTCTTGTAAGACATATACAAATAAAAATTCATTAGCTTCTGAGCCGAGTGAGTTCGGATGACGGCGACAATTGTCTAATTGCAGTCACGAGCAATTTATGTAGCTCGTTTCAACTATGAGTTATATATATATCCATATGTCCGGTATATTTATATCAGATCAGTGGTCCCTCTACATGGCCAGAGCAACGCCCACAGGTGGCCCTAAAAGCCGGGCCATAACAATAAATTGTGCTAAGCTTAGTGGCCAAGTCAAAGCACCGCGGAATAATGTCAGACCCCAGAAATGCCAGACTGGAGGCTGACGAGCTTCTTCGCCTACACCTCCCACTTCTACTTCCACTCCCGGTCCCACACCCACTCCTCCCCCTATGTTTTTTTTTATTTTTTGTTAGTATTTTTGCAGGAAGATGAGCACGACTGGCAAACAACAACGGGC